AGATAACACTGAGGAAACGAAACGAATTATTTTGTGTCACCGTGCTCGGACGCCATTAGGCTTTGTCATTATTGCATCCGCATAATGGACTCGGACTATTTTGCACCTCATCAACGCTGCTGAATTAAGATAGGAATTTCGCTTGGTTACCAAGGGTGGTGAAAATGCAGTCGATCGACGTGCTCTCGGAGCCGCAGACAGCAGAGGGGACACGCGAATCCCATTGCGTGGCCGGTGCCGGGTTTGAATTTGCATAAAGCAATAAAAGCCGATGCTAATTCGCTCTCGTGATATTTCGTCGGCCGGCGCAGTACATTTTTGTTATTATCTGCACGCTGGGCTGAAAATCACACCGAATTTGCACACAGTCCATGGACAATATTTTAATTTTTTTTCAACACACTATACAGGATTTTAAAATTAAAATAATTGAGCACTTAATTTAATTTCAGGCGCACAGTTATTATCAGCTTCAAATATCTATATGTAGTGTCATTGTCAGTCTAGTTACAATTTTTTTTAAGAAAAATAGCTTTCTGGGATATAGTTTTATTGTTTTAAATATTTTTTTAGTTTTATAAGAGCTCTTAACAGCGTAAACGTAATTTTTGTTTCTAAACAAAAACTTTCAATTTTTAATTAAGTGATTATTGTTTCAAATATTTATTTTAAGCGGTAGCAGACAGGCCTGCTAAATCGCAAGGGCTGATAACTGGTGACTTTGGACTTTGGACCCACTGGCTGAGTAGAAAGGAGTATGTATAGGATCAGAATGCGATTGGTTTGGTTGTTGGGAATTTCAAGGATGAGGAAATTGAAGAAGTTGAGCGGCTGCACGGCCTATTAATTTGCTTGAAATGCCTGGAATGTCTGATTGGAACCGCAGAAAACATCAGACATTGTAGACGAAATGCCTGCAATTCCTCCCGAATCTTGTCTGTCGCAGCGATCAATGCATCTCCTATGATTTTCTAAAGTCTTGTAAACTTACTGGCCAGGAACAGAAATTGTCATGCCCTGACCCGAGCTGGGAGAATGCAAGGCCTCATATATATTATATAATATCAGCAATCGCATGAACCACTGAGCCACAATTCGGTTAAAACTATAAGTTAGAATATAATAATTATATATAATTATATAAAAATATAATATTATGTATGCTATTATGATAATTACCATACAATATCACATCTGAAACTAATTTAAAAGTGCAATTACTGTTTTTTCTAAGAGCAGTATTAATATAAAGATATTTATGTAATTGAAAATAAAGATGTTTTTTTAAACATCAACATACCATTTGCAATTGGATAAACAATAAATTTTCAACATCATGAATTACATTTTTTTATTATTATTTTCTTAGGTCCTATTATAAATAAAACACATGTCAAATAAAATCATATTCGGACCATGTGTGCGTTTTGAGTTTTCAGCTAATCTGCATATTATGCCAATGAAATAATTCAAGTGGCACTAAAGCGCCATTATTTTATTTTAACAAGCACCCGAGAGTTGCATGCGCACCTGATAAACTTTTATTGCCTGACACGGGGAAGAGCATTAAATATTAAGCACAATGATTCTCCACTCGCCTGCTGGCAATTAATTTTATTACATGCACAAGCTCAAATAATGAAACAAGAAAACGCAATTTTGAGACAGGAAACAATTTTTTCCAGCGGGGGAGTTAATTTGAGTTAATATTTTTCGCATGCCACTGAAATAAATTCAAAGAGGCTTTTTCGGGAAAGCGGAGGAAAAAAATTTTTGTGCCAGCAGAGCACACTTAACCCTTTGCAATTACAGACAGAGCCCCTTGATGTCGGTGCGCACGGGGGTCGCTCTCGCGCTGCTTCCTAATTCTTAAAGCGGCTTTAGTCAGACATTTGGAGCGTCGAAAGTTTTCGGGCAAGAGATAGGGGGCCCGTGGCATTTGATGTTGAACTTGTACAACTGTTGGTTTGTTGAGTCTGACAGTTTTAATCAAGCAGACTTTTGGAGAAATTCAGTAGGCCGTTTATCTGACAAATTTCACGCTCCAAAAAATATCAAAAACAAAAAAAAAACCCTTTTTCTTAATCTTAAATAGCCTAATTTTCCGAACAACATAATTTTTTTCTCACAAAATATTATTTGCTGAAAACTTGCACAGGCGAATGTTACCCTCCTTGTAAGTGGAACGTGTTTGAGGTTAGTGAAAGGAGTAGGCTGTCGGTTGGTTGGTTACTCTTGCTGCCGTTTATTGCTTTGGCAGAGATGCGAAATTTGGAGTTCGTCGGCACAAAGTGGCAAGTTTGTCCTCATGTATAATATTGGATAGGAGAGAGAGTGAGTTTAGTGTGCGTGCAAAGAGAAACATGCGTCAAGAAAAGGGTTGTGCGCAAACGGTACAAAAGGGTGCCGTGTTTATGCAAATGAAGGGATGTTTGAATATGAGCATAAAACCTTGAAAGCAAATTTTTTAAGGGTTTTTTTGTCTAAAATATTTCAATTTTTCTGTTGCTTAAATTAATAAGAATTACTTAAATTAATGATAACCGGATTAGGTAATTTCTAGACGGTAAATAAATCGGTCTTTAAAAATGCAATAAAGGTTAGTCAGAAGAGGCAACTTGAATATTGATAATGATGATTTTTTTGAAAATAAGTGAAGTGATTTTCTATGGCATGGCATGTTTTAATTTAATAATCGATTTATTAAGATCCATATTTTTAATTATCAAAATGAAAACTTACTCCCAGTTTTGAAGAAAATTAATGAAAATAAAAACAACTAAAAATAACTGTTAAAATTCCTCTTAAGGACTCTCTTGGAATAAGCAAGTCGAAATTGTTGCACATATTAATTTTTTTCTGTTTATCATCGATCTTAATATTCTTTAGTCTTTTGTTCACCTCTTGTATAATTTTTACAACTCAAAATAAAAGAGAATTTTGAGGATCACCACGCTGATTTTCAATTCAGATTTTCCTCCTTTGCGTCTTTTCACTGAAAGCAGCCACAAAGTTTTTGCCACTGGCAGTCAGGCCAGTCAGCCGCTAATGGCGTTGCGGAGACAAACGGCGAGCGTATAAATTATGAGGCGCGGCGCGGAGCATTTTGTGTGGAAATTTCATTGGAGTTGGATTTCTCATGCATTATGCAGCGCACGTGCACTCGACACCAACAAGTTCCAGTGGCACAGCCACTTTTCTCCCGAGGTGCACTTTGACCCAGAATTCCCGCAACGTTGAAAAAAAATGCCATTCGCAACCATTCATCAGGCCAACGATTCGACTGCATCTATTTTGCAGAGCTCAAATCGAATTCCTGCAAAAGCATTAGGAACATTAAAATTCCTTTTTCCTGCTCTCACAATATTTTCTCCTAACCAAAAACGCCATATTAAAAACCACTGCGAGTTCCTTCTGGAAGTAATATTTAATTTTTTATACTTATGGCGGTTAATTGAAAATTTACATTATTTTATTTATTATTAATTAATTGGTTAAGATATTTATATATAATTTTCTTAGTAAATTTTCCTTAAACAAATCGCAAGCCAGCAGAAGTAAGAAAGCTTTTTAAAGGAAATAAAAATGATCTAAAAATTTAAGAGAAAAATTAGCTCATTCTTCTTTATTATAACTCTGGTAAAGTTGGGAATTTCAATTTCGGCTTAGCTGAATGTGTGAATTTATTTCCCTCCTTGGCTTTCTCCTCACCAACTTCACTTCCAGAACTCACGCAATCACATTCCATTTCACTTGAGCGCTCCATAAAAGCCCTAAATGAAAATGAATCGGCACTTGGTGGAAATGTTCCGCCTGGCTCGGTGGTTGCGCCAAACTTTGCTCCACAATTGATTTTCCATTTCTCCAAGATCAATCGACCGATAAACGAAATAAAATCCATCTCATTAGCCGCTCCATTGTACGAAATGTATATTATTATATTTAGTTTTGTTTTATTTCGACTGAGCTTAGAAATGAGAAGAAAAGAAAGTGCTTTAATTTTAAAGAGGCGCCCCGCTGCAAACGACATGTAGATGACGCAGATTAAGGCTGAGGATTAAAAGAAGGACAGGGTGCGAATCCCCCGCTCATTTTCCTTCCAACCCTCTCGTCTCCGTGCTCGTCCGTCGTCGGGTGGCTTTTCTGCCGCCTTGGCGCAAAGGAGACCAACTTTTAATGGCATCAACTCCGAGTTTTGCTCACCATAATGGCAAAAACTGCGCCATCCGCCCTCCTTCTTTTCAGCCTTTATTGCCAGTTAAAATCTGTTAAAAGCACGACCTCCAACTACACAGAGGCCATTTTTAGAATATTTTGTACCAACAATTAGGGTTTTGCTCCAATTTTCATATAAAAATTTTTTTTATAACTTTACTGAAGTAAATCCAAGAATATGAGAAAATTTGTGAAAAATGAATTATGTATTATTTTTAATTCTTTTAGTTTTTGATATCTAAAATAAATTCTGATCAATGATGTTTTTGTTGAACAAAATAAACATAAAATCAATGATCATGGAAAAAATTCAATTATTTTCAACAAAATCATGCTTTTATTTTGCATACAAATTAATTCACAATAATATCTCTCTATAATCACACAAATTTAATAATTCTCGTTCATCAAAATTTAATAATTTAATTCCAAATATAAGCCTTGCCAACTGAAATTGCGCCATTTATTTGATATAATCATCGATAATTATATTTTGTTTCCTTCATTCGCAACTGGATTAATTTGCTCTTTTTTCTAAACAAATAAAATGCGAGCATTGAGCATTTGGAAACATTCTGGGTTTAGCGAGCGTAGCTTTTCAAATTTATTTTATTTTCCTCCCTGCGAGCCGGCGAAATCCGTGTTATGCCACCCGGCATACTCGAGTGTAGTGCGGGCGGCCTAGGTGGCGGGGGGAGCGAGGCGTCGCTCCCGGGCCTCTCTCCCTCCCTCGCCGCCGCTCTCCGCCGGTTCGCCGCTCCATCAGCGACTCCAGTTGTGCTCTGCCCGGCGAATGGAGAGGAACAATCCACACGTGCCCCAAGACGAACTTTTCAAAATTTGCTTGTAAACATTCGTGCGTGCTCGCGATCACTCGCATTCTGTGCTCGTGGTGACCGCAGGTGTCCGAAGTGACGAACCCGCCCCCAGCCGACGGGACAGCAACGTCCGGAGCAAGGTAAGGGTCTTGGACTCGGATCTGATAATGTTGCGGACACACCAGGCTTGGTGCTCCTTTTTTATTTAAAAATGTTGCATTCTTTAATTTAGTTTTAAATGTGGTTTAAAAATAAGAATAATTTACAGAGAAATAAAAAAATTTTATTTTAAAATACATATAGTTTTCAAAAACGTTTGAGTAACTTTCGGACTTAAAATACAAGTTTTTTTTTTCAAATTACGATCTTTACGCATTTTTTTTTACTTTTTACCTAATGCACATTTTTTTCTATTCTTCATGCCAATCCACTTTACAATAATTACAATCAATTTTATAACAAAAGTAAATATGTATAAAAATAACATAAAAAATAATGTTTATTTTTATTGTTATATTTGTTTTGAATATTAATAATAAACAATTAATTAATTTTGTATTTACTTTAATATTTTACATTAAACTGATAATAATTGTAAAAAGGTATGTGTGGTCAATATTTTGGTGTGCAAACTTGGGAAGAACTTAAAAATAAATATTTACAGACAGATGATTCAGGAAATCATCTGATCTACGTCGTGCAAGTCTGTAAATGATTGAATAGGATTGATTATGTATCTCTCGGTATCTCTAAAAATTGAATTATCTTTAATTTTAATATTGCGACTGACTGTGGTTGTTTAAATTAGATAATATTGATAGTTAGTGATTACCAAGGGAATTTTGGATGAAGTGCTTCAACAAAATTAACCAGTTATTTATTTAAATTTTGATTGTTCTATCACAAAGGCAATCTTGCTTCCCATAGAGGGATAAATCATGATTTATGCTCATTCAAAATTATACGATTTAATTTTAAATTTCTAAAAATAAAATAATTATTATATTATGTCTTTGGGGACATGATTTGCAATTGTTATTAAGCTGATCTGTGGCATAAAAATACAGTTATCAATAATTAGCAAGACATTCAAAATTAATTCGTTGAAGAACAGAAACTCAAAGTTTAGCAAATCATTGATGTTGAAAATTGTGGAAATTTTGTCCCATTTTTTGCGTTTCAATTTGTCCTGAAGGGTGCGATTCGCGACGCAGAAACACGTGGGCTGTAAATAAGTGCAAGCGTCAAACACTTTTTTTATACTAACTTGCCACGCAGTTCATAATAAAATACTTTCTCTCGGCACGGCGTGACAAAGTCTATGAAAAAGCAAGCAAGGGTTTAGAGGGGATGAGAACAAAAGAAAGCTAGTTGCACCCCCGCGTCATTTAGCATGTCTTCTTATTACCGCTCACACCCACGCTCTCTCACTCGCACCCCCGCTGCATTTTTCACCCCCTGGTTAATAAAATTGCCGGTCGCCGCCGGAGAGGTTGAGGTTGGAGAGTCTCGTTCCTCTGGTATAATGACAAGCTTGTTTTCTGCAACTCTATACACATGTGACACACACGCGAGCAGTAACGAGCTCCGTTATTGGCCATTATGTCTCCACTTTTGACGCACGAGTGCGCAACTTTTGCATGGCGAACGGCAGTAAAGCGACTCATTTCCCAAACCGAGTGGAAAACGAGCTACTTTGGAGACGTGAAATGGTGAATTATTGAAAATAAAAAATTATTTCTCACGCCAGGATACACACATGAGGCAAACTAAAAATTGAAAAAAAAGATACAGCCTGCTAATAATAATAGACGATAATAATCATATTATCTACCTGCATAAATAGATTTTTTTCAAAAAGTATCTTTTTTTGCAGCATACAAAATAAATAATTTCAGGCTTCTCCTTAGAAACAAATAAATTTTAATTAGTAAAATCATTGCATCAATTTATCATTTAAAGCATTCTTTAATGTAGGAATATTCATCTTATTATAATTACATTTTGTAAATTAGAAACCAGCATGTTTTGAATTTTGATTTTGTTTGAAAATTTAAAACATATGTTTTTATAAAGTTAAATTATTAAATTGAAATATTTAAATGCAAATAAATAAATATTTTGAATTAACTTAATACCATGAATTTTTTAAAATTACTATGATTCAATAATGAATTGCATAATTAAATAATCCAACGAAATATGAACTAAATGGCAAAATTCATTATAATATTTTTTGTGATTGGTGAAGGTAATTTGAACCACAATTTTGGTGTTTGAGTTTGCCTTCTGTTAAATTTCATTTTGTTTAGTTCTTACCTGTGGCCACTTGGTAGACAGGTGTGTGAACGCCAAAATTATTATTATTTTTTTTCAAGAAAATATTTAGTAACCTTTTATTAATCAGTAAGAAATATTGACACATTTTTATTTCAATTCACTTTCATTCAACCATACTTTTTGGTCTTTGGCTTGACTGAGAAAAAAAATGAAAAAAATTTTTGTCTCAGTCAGAATCTTTTTTCTCTGATTTGGTATCGATGGGCAAAAAGAGTGTGCTGTCACCGCTCGTAATAAACTCGGGGCAAAAGTCTCTCACTCGTTTTCGATTTTCTGACCGGGAAAACTTCTTCTCAAAGATCTCGGGGCCGGTCGGTTCTTCCTTTCCTTGGGCAGAATAAATTTCAACCTCTCTGCAGAAAAGAGAGAGGGTCAATTTCCGCTGACTTTGTAATGCACCTCTCTCCCTCTGCTCGGTGCCGCAGTTTAATTATAAAATCCTGCAGGAAAGTAAATTTTATTGCGATATTCCGTGATAAAACAAGGAGGCGAAGATTTGCAGCCGTTTTATCTGTCGCACACCCGGAAGAGAAAGAGAGGGAGGGATGGTGTATTATATCGATTCGGCCATACCCGGTCTGTGTGTGTGCACCCTGAGAAATGCACCAAGGGCGGGGGAGGACGCAAAAAGAGGGCAAAAATTAATTTATTAGCCGGGCGGGCCGGGCTGCTGGCCGAGGACCATCTGTTTGTTCTGGGCTGGCGAGTCGAGATAACAAAACAACTCAACCAGAAGGAATTAGTACATCCAACGGCGGCATTAGGGTGAAATATTGCTGCAGAAAGCACGCCGCAAAAAATGTTCAGAGAAGAATCTCAGCCAGCCCTTCTGACTCAATTGTCCCGCTGCTCTTGGAGCTACTGATTGTTTTTTTTTTTATTCTTTTTCTTTCGACCCGGTCGCTTTCCTTTTCAAGTTGCGTTTTCTCTTTCTCTCTGCGTGTTCCAAATTAGATTTGCGGGACCGATTGCTTCCTCTCTCTGCCAAGTTGCCGCCCCGATTGGCTGTTTTGCCAAATTTATTGGTTTGCAAATCTGATTTCGCACACAACGCAAACCATCATGTGGCTATTGCGTGGGCGTTGTTGCGTCTATCCATGTGGACGTAAATTTTTTTCTTCAAGCAAGGAACGAACGTACAGAAAAAAGCTTGTTGTGATGTGAAAGGCCGTTCCATTGGAGGCATTGGACCGGAATAGAACCTCTGAAAAGGAAAATTGTTGCTATTTCAAGACATGTGTGTAACTTCTTCTAAATATGAGAAAAGCACAATGGTGAATAAGCAATTTTGACAAAAACCTGTAAAACTTTTTTCTAAATTTTTCTAATTATATCTGAAAAAAAAAATAGAACAAATTGCGCTCCAAATTTAATTTGAGAGAAATGTTTCTGTGTATTATTTAATATTTTTTCAAATCTCTGTTAATTTAATTAATTTTTTTTCTATTGTACTCGTTTGAAAATAACATCATATCATGTTGAAGAGTAGTGGCGCTCACGGGAGCCACTCTGCAAAATCAAACACAATACAAACTTGTCTGTATAACTACATTAATTAATTTTAATTAAAAAATTCAAGTATACTTCAATGCAAAACTCTCAAAATAAATCAATAAATGTTGATTTTTTTCTTTTTATGGAAGAAAGATTGATAAAATTTTATCAGAAAAATCATATTTAATACATTTTGTATAAATTATTAATATGAATTTTCTTTACCCTTGTAAAGTTAAAATATTTTTAATGATATATTCATTGAATTTATGCAGATACCAATTTTAATCAGGGTTACTTTACTTCCAAAGCTGAGTTTTTTTGTTTCATTCTTCATTTATTTTTCCTCTTTTTTTATACTGTAGATAAAGCAGAGATCGCGGGTGAAAAAGCTTGCGTGGTGTCTGCTCTGATTTTTGCTCATAAAGTGAGTGTGCGTAGTCATCGGAATTTGTGTCGCCCGTCAATCAAACGCCGTACGCGGCTGCTGGCGAGAGGATATTAGCGTAATGAGTTATTGATTTCGGCGAATCAATCCACGGCCAAAATTTCGGATCTGTATGTATATGTATGCAGGCGGTAACTCACTTTTGATGCCGCACACAATCGAAACCTGCTTCCTGCTCCGGCGCTGCTGCCGGTGCTGATTTTTTTTCCAAAAATAATCTCTCAGCTGGGATTAGACGGACGCTTTTCAAATCGATAATGTGCCAGCAGAGAGGTGCGAGGCAGTTGCGCGCGATTCCACGCCATTTTTGCCACACAGAGAGAAAGAGATGACAGTTGTATTTATTTCGCAAATCTCATTGCCAAAAATAGATAGTTTAAAAAACGCCATGCGGAATTTTTTTTAATCTTTTAAGAAAACCAAATATTTTCGTGGTTTCGATTGACTTATTACTTGTTACAAAAGATAATCGATTTTTTTTTTCAGACACAATCCGCCTAAACTCCAAAGTATAACAAATCTCTAGCCAAAGTGTGTGCGAAATTGAGAGTGACAAATTCGCTAGCATTAATCTTTGTTGACGAAATGACGCGAGGCTCACACGTGCGTGTCGGCGAGGGCCGTTTTCATCTTCATTAAGACTCGTCTCGTCGCTCTCTCAGTCTCTCGCAATTATTCTAAGTACGCCTGACGCACGTATATTTTTTAATTTGCGAAAGCAGCGAAGAGTAAAACTGCGTGCTTCGAAAAACACACACGAGACGCGATGAATTAAGTAAGAAAGATGATGCGGTGGGCGCCGAACCGGCCTCCTCGCGTTGGTAAATAATGGGAAAACGCGCAGTCACGTTGCTTGGAGAAATATTTTCAAATCGCTCTTTAATGTGTTTTGACACCTAAAAGTCCCAGGGTTTTCTTTTAGTTTTATATTATAATTATTTTCTCTTACAATCAATTTAATATTTTACATTAACAAGGTATTATTTGATATTAAAATCCACTTTAATTACATTGTAAGTTTCCAATAGTATATAAATTCAAAATCAATTTGTATTCCGGTTTAAATCATTATGTCATTAAAGAAAATGCTGCCCGCCTCGCACAAATTAATTGGGTGAACCAATATTTAAGTCAAAATATGAAAACAGCCGTTTTTTATATACATAATACAGGGTGGCCCATAAGTAATCCGTGGTTTTTAAACGCTCGCCACGGACGAACGGCTGGACGAAATTTCATTTTCTCGGCAGATTCTGAAAGCCCAACTTCACAAGTTTTTGGCTGGCACAATGAGAAATTTCGCAAATTTGAAAATCCAATAGATTTTACAGGAAAACTAGAAAGTGCCAAGTTGCCTTATGGGAGCTCCCATGTAGCGGAAAATGAGTGTTCGAGGGTAGAAGTGTGAAACATGTTTTTAGGGGTAAACGACCTCCCTGAACACCGTGACGTGGCCAGATTCTTGAAATTTTGCTTCCTTCTAATTTTTTTCTTGACAAATTTATTATTTGCAAAAAGTGATCAAAAAAATGAACGCTTGAAGATAAAAATCTGCAAATTGCTGGAGGCGTGGATCTTGAACATAAAAACAACGTAATTTTTCCAAACTTGTTATTTTCTGGAAAATTGCCCATTTTCACAAGGGGTCCACGTTTTGGTCCATTTCTCAACTTCTATGGGAGCTAGAAACAAAACTTGAGGTGATTCTGAAAGCTGATTAAATTTCCAATTTTTTTTCTGTGAACAGCAACTTTCCAACGACGGCTGATTTTCCGGAAAAGTAAAGTAAAAAACTTACTTATTTTTCACAGGGAGTGTGCAACCCGCGAAAGAAAGTCTAAGTAGCCAAAATGTAACTTGGTTCTTTGGCAATACACCCCTAAAATTTCAAAACTTTTCCTCCAGCCGTTTTTCCGCAATCGCCGATTTTCCCGACCCCTTTTGAGGAAAACAAAACTTTTCCGGAAAGGCATGTGTGATACATCACTCGATTAGGCACATCAAGGAGATGCTAGAAATGAATTTTTATCAAAATCGGATCATTTTTCCAATTTTTAGAGCAGTTTGAATTTCCATTTTTTTTTAATTAATGGAAAATGCTCTAAAAATTGGAAAAATGATCCGATTTTGATAAAAATTCATTTCTAGCATCTCCTTGATGTGCCTAATCGAATGATGTATCACACATGCCTTTCCGGAAAAGTTTTGTTTTCCTCAAAAGGGGTCGGGAAAATCGGCGATTGCGGAAAAACGGCTGGAGGAAAAGTTTTGAAATTTTAGGGGTGTATTGCCAAAGAACCAAGTTACATTTTGGCTACTTAGACTTTCTTTCGCGGGTTGCATACTCCCTGTGAAAAATAAGTAAGTTTTTTACTTTACTTTTCCGGAAAATCAGCCGTCGTTGGAAAGTTGCTGTTCACAGAAAAAAAATTGGAAATTTAATCAGCTTTCAGAATCACCTCAAGTTTTGTTTCTAGCTCCCATAGAAGTTGAGAAATGGACCAAAACGTGGACCTCTTGTGAAAATGGGCAATTTTCCAGAAAATAACAAGTTTGGAAAAATTACGTTGTTTTTATGTTCAAGATCCACGCCTCCAGCAATTTGCAGATTTTTATCTTCAAGCGTTCATTTTTTTGATCACTTTTTGCAAATAATAAATTTGTCAAGAAAAAAATTAGAAGGAAGCAAAATTTCAAGAATCTGGCCACGTCACGGTGTTCAGGGAGGTCGTTTACCCCTAAAAACATGTTTCACACTTCTACCCTCGAACACTCATTTTCCGCTACATGGGAGCTCCCATAAGGCAACTTGGCACTTTCTAGTTTTCCTGTAAAATCTATTGGATTTTCAAATTTGCGAAATTTCTCATTGTGCCAGCCAAAAACTTGTGAAGTTGGGCTTTCAGAATCTGCCGAGAAAATGAAATTTCGTCCAGCCGTTCGTCCGTGGCGAGCGTTTAAAAACCACGGATTACTTATGGGCCACCCTGTATAAGTTATTAAAATATTGAATACAAATAATTATACATAAAGTTTTAACAATTAAAATAATGGGAAAATAAATAATTTATTTCAAAAAGTATAATAAAAAAATTAAAATAATAAATATTGAATATGTTTTTGCAACTTTAAAATTATTAAGAATATATTTTATTCTTATTATTTATTATTATTTTATTATTTAATATATTTTTTTATAGTCATAAACAGTAAAAGAACTATTATGAAGCTTCTTAAACGGTGCCAGACATTTGCTAAACCGCGTGTTTTGCTTTTACCTTTTTGGGACTCTTTCGGTGCGAGCGCAGAGGAGCACGAAGCTTCCGTGGCTCATTTTCATACAATTTAAATTCACCCCTTTGCGCGTGCAAACGGATTTCGCGACGACGACGTATACACGCGGGTGCAGAAAGAGCAGGGGGAAATTACGCTGAATCGAGAGGAGTCTGCTAATTAATTTACCAGAGAGCAGCAGTGACTGCGATTGAGTCGCGTGCTGCAATTAACGTGAAAGAGAGGACTAGGCGTTCAATTAGGTGTGTATTTTTCCTGCCGCGTCAGCACAAATGAAATGCCGCACATACGCGTCTTTTGCAGTTTGTCGAACGCGCTAATATCGTTATCCGCTGGCGCAGAAACACAACACGATTCAGAGTATGCACCTTTAGCAACAATAATAGGTGATTACATAATTATCTTATTTGCTATGCTATGACACAAACATGTTGAAAAGCATATGCATAAGAAATTTTAAAATTAAAATGAATAATGCTTTTGAAAAACTAAATTAAAACTAAACACAGAATAATTAGAAAATTTTGGGCTTGTTTAAAAATTCTTACAATTATTCTCAGCTTTTTTAAGCAGCACTTATGATTAATTTCACCTATTCAAATTTGACTGAAATGATTAATTATTAAGCTTCAAGCTTTTTTAATTAAATATCTGCGACTGAAAATTGTTTGCAAACAGGGTTTTAAGATTTATTTAATAAGTACGTTTTAATTGAATATCCAAAAATCATTGAAAAATCTTGTGCTAATCACGGTTAAATTTAGTTGCTGTTTTAGGCTTGAATCTGCTTTTAAAGTGCTTCTTGAATTCTCATTAAAATGTCATTTTGGCCTTTTTGAGAGCCAAGATGAAAAATTAATTATGCAGGCTGGAAAACTTCTCATGCCACTCTCAAGAGCGAATCTCTTCAAATACGACGCTCCCTTTCTACTCCTTTTGACGAGAGTCAATATTATTCTTTCCCAGGGTAATGCACACACACACACACACACACGCATCCTACACTCTTCGGCGCACGCAATTCCAAGTTTGGTTTATATTCGAGTGCAATTCAAACAGGGGCCTGAGGAACAAGTTAATCAGATCATGTAACAGATGTCCCAGTTCCTTCTGCCGTCGCCCAAGTACGACCAGCCGTAGAAAGGTGACTCCACTTGGTGGTGGAAGGTCAGTCCAGGCCACAACAGACTCCTGACCACAGCCACCTGGCCCTCCTGCTCGAGTTGCAACCTCCAGGCTGTAATTAATCGTAAAAATTATGTGTGTATTTTATTTTATTTCCTCGGCTTATTTTATTTCATTTCATTCGCTGCGTATATTTAAAATTCAGGGCGTGGTGATTTGCATAAAGTGAAATGGAAAATTCTTACCCGGAGGGAAGTCGGTCTTGATGGTGTGGCGCGAGTCGAGCAGCGGGAACATGACTTTGGAGCCGCGCAAGTCCTCGAAGTGGACGTAGGAATCGTGGTCGGCCAGCTTGTCAAACGACAGGCCTGCGCCCAACAAAACACAAAGGGAAATCGGGTGAGATTAAATTCGCGGTCGGAAGGAGCCGGAAAAAAGCGACGGCCCGCATTACCTTTGAACATTTTGTTTTTGGCAGTCTTGTTGTCCGATCCAATCAGAAAGGCGCTGCGAGGGATGATGGACATTTCGTTGTTTATCACGGCCACTGCCGCAGTCAGACGATCTTCCTCTTTCAGACTGACCTCCTTTTGGTCCTATCGAAAATTATTACTTCGCTCATAAGGTTAATTGAAATTAATGCCCAAGAGCAGTATTTATAATTTTTATAACGGAAAAATTGTTTCTTAATAAAATTAAATAATATAAATCTGACGTGTTTGACTCACAGTTGCAGACATGAAGTTGAACACGTGGCTGGGAATCCCAGTGAACAGGGAGGTGCAGGCCTCCAAAAGTCTTAGGGCCTCTGGCTCCACCCTAGGCATCCTGACCCACTCAATCAGATCGTGGCTGTGAAAAATTTGAATTTATAAGTAATTTAAAATCAGTTTAATATCTAGTTTGTTTTTGTATACCTGTAGAAATACTTGATGTTTCTGAAGTAGTCGGACGTGAATCCTTGCAGAATGTAGTAGTCGTTGGTGATTCCGCTGATGCGGCCCCAAAACTTGAGAACTTTGAGTTTGTTCTCGGCCTTCAGAAAGTCAATGGCCGTCTTGACCAGAATTTTCTGCTCCGGGCTGAGAAATTCGCCCTGCAGAAATGGAGATTCCACTAGAAAACCTTCCATTTTCTTCAAAATTCAGCAAATGTTTCCAACAATGAACAATTTTGCTTGACTGAAATTTTCATTGTTCTAGATATTGCCGATTATTGGATTTTTCTCTCTTTTGTAATTTAGCAATTTTAAACTCACATTTTAATGGGAAGATAACAATAAAATACACAAAATTACTTTTCATTTGACACTTTTTTCTAAAACGTACACGCCACACGCATGAAATGGAACAAAAAAAAATCAATTAAAGACCCCTAGTCCTAAAGCGGCGAGACGCTGAAAAATGTTTATCGCCGGGAATTTCGGTGGCCCTTTCGGCCCCCCGGTTTGCACCAGACCCAGGTCTCAAATGGATTAGCCAAAGGATGGCAAAAGTGCGAGGGGGAAGCGACTTTGGGCTTAGCTAATGCCACCTGGTCACGTAATGGGCTCGCGGGAGGCCCGGCCTAGCCTGGCAATATCATTAATTTATGGCCGCACTAATAGCCCCGGCGAATTATTAGTATTGTGCACGATGTGCCGATGTGAGTGTGCCCTTAAACAAGAGGCGCAGACCGTGCTGAAATAACAATCAGCCGAGACAGCGCCGTGACTAATTTTATTACCGCTCGTGTTTGGGGATTTGCGGTTTGTTGCGCAAATCAACAATTTGGCGCAATTAGTAATTATTTCCCTTTTGAAATGTTTGGCAACGAGATTCATCAGAAAATTATTTGCTTTTAAATTTAGAATAAATAATGATCAAAATTATTTATCTTAGAAAATTTATGAAAAACATGCAATGTAAAATAAAAAATGTTTTATTTTCAATGATAATTTTTGATAATTAACTATCTTCAGGTCAACCGTGGATATTCTAAGAAAAAACTTTTAACAATAATGAGTATTTTGTCACTAGAAATGAATACCACTAATTAAATGAGATGGCAATTAAAGCTATAATTAATTAAATGTGGACTGAGTTAATTGTCATTATATTTATTCTCATTTGAATACTCAAATTGTATTTAATGTTTAAATGAAATGTATTAAAATTGAATAGAATCAAATATTATAAACATTCCAAATTAGGGAAATTTAGTATTAAATTTAATGAGATAGTTCATTGGGTCATGTTTATTCAGAATTTAATTAATATTCAATCCAATGGTTATGAAATGGGAAATTTTTATTTCAACTTTAGAATTCCTCATAAACTTCAACCGTTGTCTGCCAGTGGCATGATTTGAAAAAATCATTATTATCTAAAATCGCTCTACCGCACGAAACGGGAGCATTTAACAAAATATATTGCAAAACTTTGGTACAAAACGAAAATTAATCGCACCGCGGAGAGCGAAGCCGTTCCGATATAAAAGTGAAAAACGAGCGCGTGTCAAAAAGTGCGCGGCCGCAAAAAACGATCCATATACTAATAAAATAATAATCACCCGTCGACATGCACTTTTCATTTTCAAGGGGACTGCAGTCGCCCCGTATGCTATTAATAAAATAAAAGCCAACCCGTCGGCCAACCCCTGGCTATCAGAAACATTTTTAATCTGGGCCGCCCTTTACTTATTACACGAAAGCCTCACACCCTCGCTCTTCCTCCGCGGCCGCTCGGCAATAAATCTGCCGCAAAGCAACAGCGAATTCAGCCGGCCCTCTCCCGCTGATTTTTAATACTTTATTCCTCATCACGCGGTTTCTAATATAGTCAGCGCTTTATTTACGGCGCCAGTGTGTGCTGTCGCGCAGCCGAGTGCTAGTTATAAATTCACAACGCACTTGGTAGACGTTAAGATGGAAAAGCGTCCAAAATGAGCCACCAAAGTGTGCAAAACTTGTCCTCAGCTCTATGCAAACGTACTTTGAAGTTCATTTTAGATTAAAACGAAGCAACTGCTTGATCCATAAATTTTCAATTAGAGTGGTTTTAAATAAGTAAAAAAGCAAATAAAATGCATTTTTACTAAAATATTTCCAAGAAAATGTGTAATATTTTTTAAGTTATTTCTGACACATTATTTAGGAAATTTTGAAATCATTTTATTTCAATTAAAACTTTAAAAAAAGGCATAAAGTTTTTTTATTTTAATTTCATGATTTTTTCAAAAGTTTAAGTTGTGCTAGAGTTCTTCGTCATCCCTGGGAAAAGTTGGTTTTCATTCTGTACCGAGCTGCGCTGATTTATAATTTAATTAAACGTCCCGCATTTCACTGTGAGTGGTGTGAGCCTGACATTCGCACAGCGCCGTATTCAGAATACTGTGTGCAAAGATAGGAAAAAAACTGCCGCACTCGAGAGTGGCTCGAGTGGGCGTCTCTCCGCTGAATAAATATATCGCAGGAGAGCGAGAGAGACGACGGGATATCATTTTTATTATTCAAATCTATTGCGCGTGTCTGCGCGAAAATGTGCGAATTAATTTTCCGCGCCGACGGGATCCTGCCAGCGTCCTTTTTGTCCAGAGCTTATTATCGCCGAGCTAACGCAGCGTGGAATAAAAAAGAGCAGAGAGTGAAAATGTGAAAAGAGACGGAGAAGGAAAGCGAAAAATTCGTCCACTGAAGCAAAGTGTGTGGAACGCGAAAAGATCTTGTTTCATACATATGAGTCATACTTGGTAGTAATAAGGCTGACTGAATCATACTCGTAAAATCACAAATTATTACACAGTTTAATAATTACTATTAAATAATGGTTTATTCAATTAAAAAAACAAAATAGATGTTTGTAACATATATATATTTTTTTTATTGATAATAAAATGCCACTCAAAAAATTTTTGTGTGTTATGGACCGTAATACAATTTATGTTGAAATCAAAAAAATATTTGGAGCGATCCGAAAGCCTGAACCTGGCCGAGGGTAAAAAATTATACCCTTTTTTTAAATTGGCGGATAAAGTTAGCCTCAATGTTTTAAGATCCTCGTTTAAATTTATTTTATTTTCAGATCCAAATTTTATTCAACATATAAATTAGAGGCAATTTAAAAATACTGCAAATTTATTTAAATATCAGACTAAGGCGTGAGAGAAAAAGAAACTCAGTAACTGCGGAAATAATAATTTAATAATGAGTTGAGAGAAATTAATAAATTTTGGAAGCCGCTAAAAGCTTTTCTGCGTTATTTGAAGGTAGTTTAATTGAATTTTAGGGTTAATTATTACCACAGTCTTGGTAAATTATTCCAATTTCCATTGTAATTTTGGACTAAATTTGAAACAATCCACTCTGGCTGACACTCGCCTCTTGCTTGCACCCCTTATTCCTGCCGAGCTAATCAAAGGAGGGAATCTTTCGCATTCCAAGGGGTTACGCCTGGCTGGCTGTTCCCCAAAATGCAAATTTCCAGCGTGTGTGCACCACTGGCTGCATCTCGGAAACACGTACAACCCCAGCAGCGCAATCGGTGCCCCACACGCCTCGTAACAAACAACCCCTTGCGTACACAAGCGAAATTCCACCCCGGTACACCAAGCGGTTCACCTGCCCCATTGTTGTAGGGGCGAGCGAGAGAACAACCCTTCTTGGGTGTGCGAACAAATAAATCGGGTAGTGCGCCGGCCAAGTAGTTTGTTCGCGACGAGACGAGCGCGGCGTTCTCATTCGCCAGAGCAAATATCAGTTTGTTTGCCAGATGAAAGGAAAAGCGTGGCTCTTGATTACACAGGTAAACATACACACGGTTCCTACCACCGATTTCGCCGGAATTACATTTTACCGCGACTTACAATTAGTTTAGTCAAAGGAATTGGAGTTGCATTCTTTTATTTTAATTAAACAAAATTTTCTTAATTTAAAAACAATCTTTAATTTTAATTTCAGAAATTTTTTATAAAAGTAGTTTAAATTTTTGTATTATTTAAATAAAATTTCATTTGATTTCATTAAATATTATAATTATTGTTAATGATTTCATATTTTATCATTGCTATTATTATCTATCTGGTCTATCAGTTGTTAAAAACTATCAACAACAGAACATGATATTTTTTTTAAATATATAAATATAAAATTCTAGTAGAAATTAAGCAATACAATTATGTAAGTCCACTAATCTGGTGTCCAAGCAGGATTGAATTTTTATTATTAAATAGAAATGAATAAATAGGTTATGAATATGTTCATTGAATTTGTTAAAAATCCCATTCAATATAACGGATTAAATTACTTTGCAAGCTAATGTTTACTATAAACTATCTGGCATTCTGTAATTTGATTTTCATTATTTTTGAAAAATTTCCCTTTGTTTGCTGATAGGCAGACTAGTTTCTTATCGGAAAACGAGAAATTTCATGTGACTGCAACACAAATATTTTGGTATCGCGACGTCGAATCAATTTTTCATGGCGACGCCGCGGCAAACGTCCTGAAATACGAGAGTGCCGAAAAATATTTTTCGTGTTTGCCGCGCGGTCTCTGTCAGCGATCAGTGTTTATCGAAGGGAGAGAGATGAAAATTGTGGCCCGCGATATAATGTTTTACCTTGAGTGTGTTGGCTCGAATTAGATCTGCTTGGATAAATCTTGTGTTCGGCAACACCAGCCGATAGCCGGGATTAAATTTATTCGCGGCTTGGCGTTCGATCGGCCCGCTCGTTTATCTCTACACGTTCCCAATCGTGACATCGGAATGAAAATCACACTGCAGAGAGAAAAGCGAACCTCGCTCTCTTGGAGCAGGGTTTAGTCGTAAAGTTGCATACCGACATGGCATAAAAATTCTTGCAAGTTGGTGAAGCCTAATAAAATTAGAAACACAAATACCAATATAAATCTTACTACAATTTAAAAGAAATAAACTAAATCCAAAAGACAATAGCGTGATTTTAAATGAATTTATTGGTATAAAAAAAAAATACTCTTCCGTCCAAAGTTTCATGGAAGACATGATATGTGTTTGAATTTTAATCGGCAGTTGATTTGCATAGTGGAATGAATTAAATATGCCTGAAAAATTTTAATAGTCAAAATAAAATATTGTAATAATTTAACAAATAATTTTTGGGAAAAAAAGATTA